GGATGGATAGACGGACAGATGGATAGATAGATGGATGGATGATGGATGGATGGATGGTATTTTCGAGGCTAGTTCAGATATCTCTTGTGTGAAGTCAGCAAGTTATAGCAGGGATCTAGTTATCGTATTCAATTATCCTTTCATCATGCTCCAGATCATTCAGATTGGAAGAGGCACTTTTCCTTCATGTCCATAGGAGTATCAAGTGGGGGAGAACTCTCAGGGGCTTTAGAGGCCATGCAGTGACCTTACAGGGTTTGCCAGAGTCCCCGGTACAACATTCCCACCAACTGACCTTCCAGCTTTGCTTGTACTCTCCTTTGTTTGTGGAACTCCTTAACTCATAAGGTGGCTCATTCCATTTCAGGATATCTCTGCTGTCTCTGTCTGTGTGCCTGAGTGCACATGCGCGGCTATATCTGCATTACTTGAAGGCTCATCTCTGCCCGACAGTTCCTTGGGAACTACATAGTGATCGTCCTACATCGTGCTGCAGAGATCATGCAGGGCAGAAACATAACAAAATAAACAAGAGTTTGAAGGTCCTCCTTGACATTTACTAGTTTTATGACTTATCCAAAGTCATAGATAAGTCATTTGCCTTTCAGAGCTTTCATGGCCCCCTCATGGATTATTTTGAAGATTACATGCAATTGCAGATGAGGCATTATCTGGTATATATAGTAGGCAGCCAATAAGTGTTGGTTTCTTCATTCATTGGAAGGAACATGAGTGTTCATTTGGATCTTGAGTTAAATGGGGAATGAAGGTTCAGAGGGTTTGGATGTGTTCAAGGTCACTGCCATCACTTCTGACTAACTCCTAGGCCTTTGCTCTTCTGACTCGATCACTGTACTAACCTTAGCTCCCAAGGGCAAGTGATAATAATCATGATTGTCATTATTATGATAATAATCATAGCTATGATAGCTAACACGTGTACTGTTTACTGAGGCCCGGGCACTGCTCCAAGCATTTAACTCAATTAACCCTCCCAACAGCCTTGTGAGGAAAATACTGTTATGATCCCCATTTCACATGGAAGCCTTGGAGACATAGAGCAGATAAGTAACCTGCCCAAAGTCTCACAGCTGGTATCGGGTGGGGCTGGGATTCAAACCCAGGCAGCCTGGCTCTGGAGTCTTCTCTGAAACCCTGCCCCCTGCTGCCTTGAATGTTGTGAAGAGGGCAGGATTGCTGGGATTAGTCAGTGCTGGTCGGATTGTTATTCTGGCCTCATTTCCAAAATCATGGATATGAGCCCTCTTCTATAATTCCCAGGTATAGAACTGGACGTTTTATTAGCTAAAGAGGGAGGCAGTGTGGTATAGAGGGAAGAGCTGTGGAGATTAAATGAGATAATTTGTGCAAACTCTCTAAGCACAGAGAATCTGGGAAGATGCAGCAGCATAGTGTTTGAAGCTCTCTGGATCCCAAACTAAAGATCCCAACCCAAAGATCCTAACCCAACCCAAGATGGCTAGGCAAAAAAATTTAAAATCCACAGAAAACATGCCCAACTAAACAAGGTGACATGATATCCCTACAAGCCCCAAGATAACAGTTTATGTCCACCTGCATGGTCTTGGCACCTGTGCAGAAGAAAGCAGTGGGAGACTCCAGAATGGTCAACAGGTATTCCCTGGAAAATACAGTAGAAAAATTTGCGGGCAGCAGCTGAGACCGGGAGACATTTTACTCATTCCATTCCAGTGTGTGCAAGGAGCTCATGGAAGCATTGAGGGAATGGAACCATCTAGCCCCTAGGAACTCTTGGAACTGAGCCAGCAGGGCTTGCCTTAAGATCAGGGTCTCGCACTATGGAGAAGCTGCTGGAAGTGAAATGCAGAGTTTAAGTAGGAAAGAGACAATAGACTCCGGATAAAGAAAGTCCAGGTAAATGTAGAGGAATCTCAGAAAGCACACTGCCCCAAATGACAGGTAAGGGAGCTCTGTGAAGTCAGGAAAACTGCTGTGAATATGCCCTTTTCTAAAATTTCAGGAAAGTTAATACACTTGAAAATGACCAACCAAAAAGAATCAATGTTGAATCTCATACAAAATTATGTAAGAGAAAGGATAATAAGGAACAGAATGACATCCCTCTGCATAATGAAAACACACCAGAAAGATATGCTCAGAATCCAGATCAGAAATGTAGCCTGTATCAAAACAAAGTAAAAGCATTAAGAAAATGATAAAAAAAAAAATGGATGAAAACTGTAAGTCAGAATTAGGAAAAATTGAGAAATAAAGTGACAGAACCCAGGAAATAATTGAAAATTAAAGCAAAAAGCAACTGCAGAGAGAAGGAGGGACCGAGAAGAAGACAAATTTTATAAATCAAAAAAGAAATAGAAGGGATGAAAAAACTTGAGGAGAAAGTGATGGACATTGAAGACACGCAAAGAAGTCGCAACGTACAGATAATAGAAATCTCTGAGGAACGAACCCACAACAAAGGAAAAAATAAGTATTAAAAATGGTAACTCAAAGAAGTTTCCAGAAATTAAAAAAAAAAAGGATTTGAAAATCCACATTGAGAGAACACACAGCATGCCTGAACATACCTATTCAGAGCAGCAAATATGAAGACATGGCCTCGTAAAATTATCAGACTTTGAAGAAAAGAGAAGACAAACATCTAGAGGGCATCTAGGCAAAACCAGCAATGACTTTTAAGGGGAAAAAATATGTTGTCATCAGACTTGTTCACAGCAACACTTATGCTAGGAGAAGGCGAATACTTAGGATCCTCAAGAAAACGTAGGCCAAGGATTATATACCCAACAAAACAGACTCGTGTGGACAAAGGACACAAAGTATTACCAACAGGAAAAGGATCAGCGTGCTGGCATTAGGCATAGTTACTCTTCCAGCTACAACTAAGTGAGTGTTATAAGGAAATGGTATACTATGAATTGCTATATGTCCAAACAATGTAGATACAGCACATCCATTAAAATAGGTAGAATAGGGAGGACATAATCCAAGCAAACATTATTTTAAGTACTTGTGTCAGTGGTGGTAATTTTAGTATTGCTCTTCTGAGACTACTGTGTCAGAATATGGAATAACTACGTCAATAATTATGGGATAGTCTAACATCTCCTGTGTTCCTAAGAACCAGGATTCTGTTATGGAAGAAAAGAGATTCCTTTGTAATATAGAAGAGATCAAAAGTCTGTGTGGTTCTTGCTTTGAATCAGAAATATCAGTGGGAACTCATGATATATTTTCCCTTTAAAAATCCACTGAAGAGGCCTGGAAGCAATGGCCAACCTAGAAGCACCCACCATACCTGGTATCTAGGGTGTGGTCTTGAAATACCATTTTCCACTACAAACCAAAACAAACAAACACACAAAACCAAGACTTCTTGGAGAAATAGCTGGGGCAGGAAAAGTACAAGATGAGGCTGGACCACCCTGTTGGACCACAGAGTAAGAGACCTACTGAAGACTTCTGGAGCCACTCTGATCTTCCCTCTGACCAAAGATGGGCAAGCTTGAGTTCCAACAAAGGATAATAATTGCAATGGATTGAAATCCATCAAATAGTTTAAATCCATGAGTTCATACTAATATTTTAAAAAAACCAACTGGTAACCTCTGGATGATGACGGAGAGAGAGCAAGTTCATGATCCTGAAAACCTGTAAAAATAAGGCAAGAATCAGGCATTGATCTTGCTTTGCTTCTGTGAATGATACCTCCTGGTAACCAGATAGCATATGAGGGGCAGCGCTCTTTACGGATGTATTCCAACTAACACACTAAAGAAATGATAGAATTGGACTACCAGCATTTTGCAATCCCCGATGGATCGGTGGATCTAGGCCCTGAGCATCAACAGCTGCTGACATCACAGAGAGAGAGACAGCCAGACACCAAGTGCGCCCCAGTGGAAGAGACGCCACCAACTGTCATCTTGCCAAAGGCACCGGGCCTGCCTCTGATCAGGTCTGGATCCAGCAGCCAGTGTGCCGGAAATGCAGAGGACAGATCGACAGCCTGCTTCGCACCACGAGGATGCAGTCGGCGAGCCCACGTGTAGGAAGCTCTATGGTTCAGAGGCTTCCAGTTCCTTAACAGGTCAAGTGCCTGGGAAATGAAGGGATAGAGAGGAAACCTGTAGATTAAAAAGGACTTGAGACACAGCATGTTTTTCTCATGACTGTCTTGAGGCACGCACCCATGTGATAGGAACCATAAAGAAACCCAGGTAGGCGACGCTGGCACCATCAGGACAGGGGTCCTGGGAGGGCTGGGGCGGGCAGGCCGGCACTGAGATTGGTGTGGGCGCACGAAGGGGCCTCAGATGGCACATGGAGGATCTCTTTCCTGACCCGAGTGGTGATTACACTGCTCATTAAACTACATCTGTGTTCCGGGTAGGTTTTGCATCTGCGCTTTTATTTTACAATAAAGAGGATTTAAAATATGTCTAGCAAACGAGCTCCCCCCTCTTCTCTCCGCTCCCGGTCAGTCGCACGACATTGTGGGTTTGACTTCTTTGTGCTGGGGCACCGAGCTGGGCACTACCTATCCGGTCTGTCACTTACTACCCCTGCGACCCACCTGACTTGGCGGGGGGGTGCTCCGGGGAGGCGGGACCACGTCTCCCATGTTTGCTTCGGCGTCCCTGGTGCCTCGCACCCAGCAGGCCTTCAAAACACACTTGTCAAGCGGGTGAATCCGCCTGCAGTTGTGGAAGCTGAAGCTCAGTCCATACAGTTTGGCAAATAGCAAAGCTTCGCTTATCCGCAGCCAGGGCAGATGGGGACCGGAGTGTGGGTCCTGGTCCAGGGGGCAGGAAGGGCTACGCGGCTTCCCCGCCGAGCAGCTTGGCTGTGGAGGCCACTGCGCTTCTCTGGTGGGGCCGTCTCTGGGACAGGCGCCCCCCTGCCGGGCCACCTGCAGCTCCTCCTGGAATCTGGGTCTCCGTGGGCGTGGCACTTCTGACTTTCCCATCCGCCCCTTGTGTTGTGGTTCCCCTCAGGCTCCGCCAAGAGAAGACAGACACTGTCCGCTGCATCAAGTCCTGCCGCCCCAACGACGTCACCTGCATGTTGGACCCAGTGCACACCATCTCCCACACCGTTGTGTCACTGCCCACCTTCCGAGAGTTCACCCGCCCTGAAGGTGAGTGGTGACTCCCACGGCTAGAATTGGCGCGGGGGCCCCAAGGCTAGAGAAACGCCCCTGCGAGGCAGCCTCCTCTGGGGCTTCCCAGTGCTTGAGCCGAGAGCTTGGCCCCAAGGAGCTACTCCCTGGGAAAGACATGGATTTGCCTCTGCAAAACTCCCAGTGTCCCCAGAGCGCACAGCACCGTGCCGGCCCGTTCCTGGCTCTCAGCTCAGGAGGCTGCTGCTTCTGGGTGTTGAGCGTTGGCTCTGTGCCAAGCGCTGGGGCGTCAGGGAGGGCTTCTGGGAGGAAGTGACTTCCAAGCTGGGGCCCAAATTGTCAGCAGGAGGTAAGTAGTAAAAGTGGGGAGCAGGGAGAGAGGAGGGGGCCAAGTGGAGCAGAACTCATCTGGAAGGTCTGGAGGTAAGTTTAGGGGGCGGTGGGTATTTGAGGAACGAAGCCAAGTTTGTCTGGCTGGAGTGGGAGAGGCTTGGCAAGAGACAGGCTGGGAAGATAAGCCTCAACTTGGGGTTGGGGCTTCCACTGCAAGGCTTTTGGGAGCCATCACAGGGCTGTGCCTGATACTATTTGTGTACGGGAAATGTCACCCTGGAGACCGAGGGGCTAGACTGGATCCAGGGAGCCCAGGAGTGAAGCAGGAGCCCAGGCGGCTCCTGGCCTGCTGTACAGACCTGCCATCATAGCACCCTTTCCACTGGGGTGGGACCCGGGGCACCCCGCCGTCCTGGCACCCGTACATCTTGCTTCTGGGTGTGCAGCCCCCATGCCGAGGCCACCCCTTCCTCTGTGGGGTCTTTATCCCTGGCCTTGCTGCGTGATTGATTCACGCAGCAAACACTGATGGAGCCTCCTAGGTGTCAGGCTCAGGGCCAGGCTCTGGGGCCCAACGATAAGGAAGAGCTCCCTGACCCTCCGAGGGGAGATGTGCAGTTGAGCCAGCGGGACAGTTTACACACTGTGATAGCATCCCACGGGGTGACGCAGGGGCACATGCCAGAACATAGCACCCGGTTGTGGGGGGCCTGGGGGTGACGAGGGCAGGAGATGCTCCCCAAGGACATGGTCACCTGAAAGAACGGGTGACCCCCTGCTCCCCTCCCCACTGACTCGTTCTTCTAGAAAAGGAGAGGCGCAGAATCTCTGCAAGAGAGCACGGACTTGGATTGGGGAAAATCCACTGGCTCGTGTTTGCCTTATGCCAAATGACCGGTTCCACCAAACCACATACAAATCCTTCCCAAACCCCTAACGGCCGGTTTTGTGGCCTCTTGAGCAGTGCTGGTCTGGAAGTTGATTCTATAGGGAGTTGAGCGTGGCTGGAGGTGCCTATTAGCATCTGGGGCCCAGGAAATCCTGACCTCGACCTTTAGCGCTAAAAGGACCCTCAGTGGGCCCTGGCGGTCTGCCTCCTTCACTCTACAGATGAGGAAATGGAGTCCCAGAGGAAAGACCCCTCCGGATCACCCAGAGCCAGGGTAGACTCGGGGCCTTGTGCCCCCAACCCAGGGCGGTTGGCCCCACTTTACACGGGGTGGCCGAGGAGAGGGACACCACCACCAAAATGCCCAGCCCACGTCACCCGAGAAGCGGCTTTTCTGGCCCACGTCACCACGGGGCAGGAGACCGGCCTGCTCTCTTGCCCTTGCTGACCTCTCTCATTTACCCCCACAACCACCGCCCTTCCCCTTCTTCCCAGCTTCATGAAGATTTACGACTAATTACCAAGTGCCCCTCAGCTCTACCACCGCTGCCCATTAGCCGCAGGACCTCGGGGAAGATCCAAAGCTTCTCCAGGCCTCAGTTTCCCTGCTGATCACAAGGGGGGTAGGCGATGACCTGTGAGCCCTCAGGACCCCTCCTCCGCCTTCTCGGTGCAGGGCTCGCCAGCCCTGGGTTCTTGGGACCCGAGGGGGCGTCTCTGGGGGCCCCATGATGTGCTTCCCTCCCGCAGAGATCATCTTTCTCCGGGCCATCATGCCCGTGTATCCTGCCAACCACGCTGACATCATCTTCGACATCACCGAAGGGAACCTGCGGGACTCCTTTGATATCATCAAGCGCTACATGGATGGCATGACTGTGGGTGAGTGGCCGGAGACGTTCGGGTCCTCCCAGCCAATGGCCTCGTGGAGGCCCGTTGTGCCAGGCCGCTGGGAAAACCCCTCTGGACCAGCCGAGGTCCCGTCTGAATCCCCCTCCTAAATCCCCCCTATTCTTCAGGGCCAGCTGGAACCCCCTCCTGCCCCCTCCCAAGGCAATCACAGGCCAGGAGTGGGATCTGCTCCTGGCTGTGCACCAGGTCTCCAGGGGCGACCCCTGTGGGCCTCTGTCTCCTGCCTGTGAATGGGTGGATTAACTAGATCTCTGTCTCACAACCATGAACTGACGATATCACACAGGTGACGTGCCTGTCTCGGGGCTCGGACCGTCCCCAGGTCAGTGGGACCTGATGTGAGTTTTATTCTTGTGGCACGACAGAAGGAATAGCAAACGGAGGGTCTGAGCCCGTGCTCTGGGCCTCGGCCCCAGACCGTTTGCCTTGCCACGTGTCCAGTCGATGTCCCGCCCGGCACGTCACGCGCACAGCCCTTGAGCGGGGAGCCTGCCGGCGGCTTCCGCCGAGAGGCAGCGCCGCGGGAGCACGGAGGAGGGCTGGGGTGGAGAGGGAGCGGGGGGGGACGCCAGTGGAGGTGGGAAGCAGGTGAGTCTGGGGAACCGGCTTGTAAACCTCTCCTGAACTGTCGAGTTTTAGAGACCTCAAGTTCGTGGGGAATGGAAACCATCCCAGCTACCATTTTCGACTTAGATTTAGACTCTGAGTATGTTCAAAGCAGATGAGCAGCTGAAGACCAGGCCCTGTCCTCGCTTGGGCCTCAGTTTCTCTACTGCGAATGGGGGTGGGTGGGCATGGGCTTTGTGGTGTCCTGGGCCATGGATTCTGTGAGGTGTTGACCAGAAGGAGCGTCCGAGCGTGTGGCCCTTCAGCAGAGTTTTGGAATAAGGTCTCTAGGTGGCGCTGTTGGCTCTCAGAACCCTGGTCCCTGCGCCGGGACACCCGCCGCCAACCCCAACCGTTGTTAAACTGGCAGCTGGAGACAGGGGATCGTTATTCCCCTGTTGCCAAAGAGCCATTTATAGCGACTTTACAAGCTCTTAAATGGGTTTGCATGTTGTAAACATGACTGAGTCATTTAGGGGCTCCCCACCCCCAGCCGCCTCCTCCGCTAGTTGGCAGCAGGAATAATTAGTTAATTACAATTAATGGTACATTAGTCCTCGCTGGGATCCCAAGGGGAGGGCGTGCAGTTTGGCTGTCAGCAGTCATAAAACTTGCTGCTTGCCCTTGGGTCACTGCCCACCCTGGGCCTCAGTTTCCCCCATGTTAGCTGAAGAAGACCTTCAGGGCCCCAGGGGTGAGGGCAGACGGGAGGAGGGAGGGTCAGGCTTTGTCCCGCTTGGGTGGGGTGGTGGTGAGCTACTTGAGACACTGGTGCCCAGAAGCCCACCTCCTACCGGCCCTGTGCCTGATGCTAGGCCGGCGGGCGTGGCTGCAACACGGCCTCGCGGGGGTAAATCATGGCCTCGCGGGAGAGTTCACAGCTTCGGAACCGTAAGAACTGGACTCAGAGCCTGCTGCTCCACTCGCGTGTTCTTGCCCTTCTGCTCCTTTCCCGAGCCCTCGTCTGTACCGGGCCCTGGGCTGGACACTGCGGGGACACAGGTGAAGGACCACCATGCAGACCCTGCCCTCAGGGGCTTTGCCTTCCAGTGGGGGAGAGAGATGGCCCCACAAACAAATCATCAAAATCTGACTCTGAAGAGACTGACAAGCCTCTGTGGCCCCCAGAGAAACCTCTTGGGGGTGGCTCTTGCTGAGTTTGCGCCTTGCAGTTCCCAGCTAAATCCCTCCTGGGTGACCTGAGCCCGGGGGTTGGGCAGCGGCTGGGCCCAGATCCAGTGCCCACCAGCGCATTTTTCTAGCCGCATCTGTACTCCAGACAAAATCGACCTGGGAGCCTCTGTTTCTCGGCTTCCCATCCACTGGGGCAGAAAATCTTGGCGTGTCGAAGCCTGGAGGCTCCTGGAGACCATCTCTTTCCAACTCGTTTGTAGAGGGGGAAACCGAGGCCCAGAGAGGCGTGAGGGTGTGCCAGGCTGCTCATGGTGCCTCGGGGCAGAGTGGGGAACAGAACGGAGCCCCTGGGAATGGAATGTGGATCAGGTCACAAAGACAGAGCGGCTGTCCCTCACTGCGCTCGGTCACGCGTGCCCTGGTCTTTGGAATCCGGGCTGGGGCTTCGTGGAGGAGGGCCCAGGCCGACTCCGGAAAATTCGTCCCGCTTCCGGTGGGCTCGGCCTCCTGCGCTGCTCGCTCGGATTGCAGGGCATCCGTCTGGCCGGGGGCCCGGAGTTTGGCACGGGGCCCCAGGGTCCTCGTGCCGGTGTCATCTCCTGGGTAGAGGACTCTGAGGCCAGGGGAGTCCAGATGGCAAGGTCCCGCTGGGGTGGGACCCGGACTTTATTTCGGGTTGGGCCCTCGTCTCCATGCCCACCCGTCCCTGCCTTATTTCTCTGCTTGGGTCTCTTCCCTGGACTTCCTTAACCCCACCTCTTCCCCTCCCCGCCTCTGTCCCAAATAACTCCTGTGCACCCCGGGAGCTCTGGGCCCCCAGGGTGGCCGTGCTGGTGCGCGCCGGCCCTGGACGCAGGCACAACGCTGCAGCTCCAGGCCTGTCCACCGGCGGTGGATGGTTTGCTGCTGGACCCGAGCCCAAGCGTGAGCAGCCCGCCAGTCGCAGCCAAGTTGTCTACCCCGCACCCAGCTCGGTTCTCACAAACACCTTCAGGGACAGGTGTGATCGTCTCCCTTGGGCAAAGGAGGGAACAGAATTAAATAACCACCTGGGACCGGGCATCTGAAACCCTTTGGGGCCTGGGTGTTTGCACACTTGTTTTTAGGGGCGCAGTTCTCCTTTCAAGCAATGTCTTAGAAACCCTGTATGTCAGTGGAAAGGAAGAAATTGTTTTCTGGGGCCACTCACGCCGCCTGTCTGCAGCATCCAGCAGGATGGGGGGGGGCTCCCAGCTGGGCCCAGTGAGAACCACTGTGCAGCTCCACGCTGCCTGTAGCACCTGGAAGGGACACTGACCCGCCCACAGGTGTCGGCTGAACATGGCCATGCCCTGTTCGGACACTGGACACCGGGGTCTGGAAGGCTTCCTGGAGGAGGTGAGGTCTGAGCTGAGTCTCGACACATGTGAAGGAGTGACTGACACCTAGTGTGAGTACCAGGAGCAGGCGTTTCCTCCTCGCCACACCCCTGTGACATGGTGGGACTATCGCTATTCCCGGGTGAGGCAGCAAGGACCAGAGAGAGGAAGAGCCTGGTGCTCCCCAAACGCCCGGGGCCGGAGCCCACTGACGGCTGGGGCCAACTGGGGCAAAGTGACTGAGGGTTTGGGTCCCGGAGAAATACGCGTGTACAAGCTGCCAGGACCCTGAGGCCACGGAGCTCCTGCTTCCCCCAAATAACAGAAGAAGAAAGTGCCCCAAGTCCGCTCAGAACCTGAAAGGGCCAGGCCTTCCCCTAATGTATCCTTTAAAAGCCCGTTCTTAGAGGGGATAAAGGCGGCTCTGCAGCGGGGCTGAGCCTGCTGTCGGCCCAAAGCCCGAGCAGACATCCTGCTGCATTCCTCCTTAACCAGCTGTCAGTGAAAAATGAAGAAAGCATTTTTAGCCTGTGCAAAAATGCCCTCTTAATGCCTGAGGTATTCTCGGGCCACGACAAAGCCTTCCTCGCCCAGCCCCGGATTCAGGCTTCGCTCTGCGGGCTACTGGCTGTGGTCAGGGGCTGTGCCAAGAAGGGGGTCCTTCTGGTACTAGCTCGGGATGGGGGGACTTGCGGGGGTGCCCTGGCCGGAGCCGGCGCGGGCTGGGTCCTGTCAGCCTCCCTGCCGCTGGGGGCCGTCCCCTCCCCGGGGCCGCTGGGCCCCGGCTAGCCTCAGCCCTCTCCGCCACCCTCCCTCCTCCCTGCTGCTTTTCAGCTCTTTTTCCAAGGACAGGAAAATAAAATCCGTCTATCCTGAGGGTCAGCTTTGCCAACATTTCTGTGAGCACCTCCCCAAAGCCAAGAGGAGCTAGGCAGTGCGGAGCTTGAGTGGCTTTTTAGACCCACCTTTCGATTTTGTGTAGGCCCGCCTGATCCTTGGCCAGTGGGCACGCTGACGGGAGATTGAGCGGCTTTGTGCCAGTCGGCCCCTCCTGCCACACACCCGTTTCGTGAGCTGGAGGGTGCTTGGGGAGCCTCTGGACAGCACGTCAGCCACGCGGGGCGTGAGCTCTATGCAGGCCGGGACCCTGGTTCCCCATCAGGCATGGACATAGAGTGGGCGAGCGAATATTTACCCAAGGCCACGCTGGAGGGACAGGAGCACCCCAGCTCACACAGCCTCCAAGGGTCACAGCCTCCCGAGGCACTCCCTCGCCCTGGCAAGAAAGGGCCACCGGACTGGGGTGGAGCCGTGGCTACAGCTCATGTTTCCTGTTTTTAGTGGAATCCTTCACGCCTGGCCCCTGGTGTGTGTGAGGTGAGGTTCATAAAATTTGACTGTATTTGCGGACGTCCCTTATAAATAATGACAATAATTAAGGTAAGAACAGCCCTAAAACTACTAGTTAGTGAGCTCTCCCAGCCCCAAAATGGGCTGAAATAAAAGAGATGGACTTGCTAATTGTTCTTGCCCGGTGGAGTGGGGAGTTTTGTTTTTTTAGTTTTGCATAATTACTGGGAAGGCCCTAATTTTACTAAAAACGAGCAGGAACACAAAAGAACAGATCAGTGTCAGTGTCACCCCGCTGTTAGCCTTGGGCCTCGTGAGATCTGCACTAGTCTTTCCACTTGAACTGGGACGTGACGGTCCCTGCGTTCCGGCTGCAGAGATCCTGGAAATAAACTATTGCGTGTAGGTTTCATGTGGGTATGAATCGTAGCTTCCGGGACAGGCTGCTCCCCTGAGCTGCCCCCGTGTCCCTCGGAGCAGCCGCTCCCCCCTTCCCGTTCTGATTAAATCGTGGCGGTCTGC